GCTACTAGCTTAGCCATACTTGTAGCACTTGCTACTAGCTTAGCCATATTTGTAGCACTTGCTACTTGCTTAGCCATACTTAAATGATTGTTTCATTTGTATTTCCGATAATTAGCCTATACCTCAGCCCTAATAGCTTATATTTTAATAGGGCTGGAAGACTTCTAGAAGTAGAGTTAATCTACACAGTGAAATACGACTCTGAATACAAGATGATTAACGGGATCAAGTTGTCATTGAAATGAATTAGGTGCCAAAAATAGACAGGTTACAAGAAACTGTGGCACCTCATGTTTACGTGACTCTAGATAATTTTTTTACTGACATTCATACACATGAAAGTAGCCTTTCAAGAACATATATCAAGACATGTTTAACGCATTTATCTTCCCTTTAAAAACTGTATAAGCGCAAAAGTGATTATCGCCTGTACGTGGTGAAGGGAATGCAGATGGTAGTGGTACGCTTTAAATGGTAGTAGATCACGTGGGTCATTATAATTTCGTATGTGTTCTTATGTCAAAAAGGAAAGCGGGTCGGCCAAAGAGATCATGAGTAGAATAGTAGAGAGGGGGGCAAAGACGTGGGCACAGATAAAGGGAGCAGCCCAAAACCGAGTCCGGTGGAGAGGTGTGATCGCAGCCCTTTGCTGCACACGGGCCACCAAGAAAAAAATGAATGAATGTTTGATGAATGTTCTTATGTCTCCCTGCTTCTGTCTTTCTCTCTCATACATACAGGGCCGGCGCCAGGTCATTTAGCGCCCTAGGCAAAACTTTTTACAACGCCTCCCCCCCCCCTCCCGCTAATCACATACTCATCTGAAATGTTCGAAATTAAAAGAAATACATTAATAAATGCAATAATTATCTCATTATATTAACAGAGGCGTGGCTGGGGGGGGGGGGGGCGGATGGAGCGACCGCTACATTTGTTGACTTAAAAGGGGGCGCTAACAATACATAGATAGATAGGTAGATATTAATATAAAAATCTAATTACTAAATTATATACAGTTAAAATAAAGACTGCTACTTGGCATTACGAATATTTAATTGTTTTTTTTTACATCAATTGTGCGAAACCAAAGTAAAAAGGCTAAGTTAGAGGCGTCGCGAGGAGGGTGTGTGTGTGGGGGGGGGGTGCGAACCGTACCGGGTGACACCAAGACAAAATATTTCAAAATTTATAAATGAAAAATTGTTTTCGCCAGTGCAATTAATGCTTAATTGAAGTGAAATAGTCTTTTAAATAAAAATTGGCAAATCCCGACAATAGCGGGGAGTTGACACCATGACGCAAAACTGCTAACTATAGAGAAAACAATGCTACATCCAACTGTGTTAATGACCTACTATAGATAAACATCGTTACAATTGTACACATTATAAAGCTATCACCAGAAAAGACATCAACCGCAAAATTTACAGGGGAAAAGTAATTTAGTTGAATATTGTCAGTTACTGTTAGTCAAAGGAACTCAACAACCATGGTGGTGCTGTCACCATATCTAATAATTTACTATGTAAACGTGCTTAATAGCCATATATATATATATATGTTACGGTCAAAGCCCGAAGTCGGCCAATGCTAGGATTGGCCGGCCAATCCGCGCATTGGCCAATATCGCCTCCCATAGGTCGGTCAAAGTCCGAAACTTTGCTTCATTTCGGCCTTTGGCCGGCCAATCCGCAGACTGGCCATTGTGGACCGGCCAAAGTCTGAAAAAGCTCTTGATTTCGGCCTTTGGCCGGCCAGTCCCGGCCAGTCCGCGGACTGGCCATGGTGGACCGGCCAAAGTCTTAATTAGAAGATCATGAGCAGATTTTGGTTTTTTTTATGCCGGTAGGATCATGAAATTAAGTCTTTATTGATTATTAATTAAAGTAAATGACAGAAACATTCACATTTTTTATTGTACTATAGTCTCAATCAATCAATATTATCATTTGTTACAACAAGTTGAACTTTTATGGCATTTAGAATTACATAGCAGCTTGTTATTTTTACACTTGCAGCGATTTGTTGTACACTTGGTTGTGCAATTGCAGCGAGTGTAGCCTTGGCCCCCAGTCAATGATTGTGAAGATGCGATGAAGATGCGATGGTTCGTAGTGATTTTTCCTCAGTGCCAACTGACTACAATAAGAGCAGTTTTTCGTGAAGAATTGAAAACTCACTTCTAGCATACAGTTGTTTTAGAACACCATGTTCCGTTCCTAATTTGTAGAAACCGCCCTCGACGCTCATGACAACTGCAATCACGCTTCGGGGATCACCGCGACCTCTGTCAACATCTGGAACACGGATGCCTACATTGTCACCCACTTCACCATCTTTAAATTTTGTATTTGATGTTTTAAGCATCTTAGCACCTTGATTTTGCAAGCCAGTATGAGCTGCTGACCTGTGTTCCATGATGTCTTGTTTGTTGTGACACAATCCGCAGGTAATGTTCCCTCCGTACCCTTCGTCTGCTTCATTGGGTATTCCACAAATAGCATGCACATCGTTGCCACAGGATCCACAAGAATGAGCTGCACTACAATGTTTTTCACAAACTATACAGAAACTATTGGCCACATTATTGTCACGCAACTGGTCTGGACGTTCCGCCACGGCAGCAGATGTGTTAGCTGAGGATGTTGTTGCATTTATGGCAACCTCCATTTCTTGTTCAATGTTCTCAAGATATTCCTCAGTAACTATTTTATCGAGAGCCCATATATGGAAACTAACATGGATTTACAATTTTTTTCTTTTGACAGCCATCTGCTATGTCTGTCTCATGGTCTGTCGGCCCTTTTGATCCATGTCGCCTTGCATATAGAATGCTATACAAACAAGAGCTAAACATTACGTTACTCACAATGAAACCGCACCCAGAATAATTAAAACGCGATCACAACTTAGTCTAGGTACAACATTGGCCAGGACATCCCGGCCAATGCGCGCATTGGCCGGCCAATGTACAAAATACGGTGTCAAGTTTAAGTACTTCGGACTTTGGCCAGTACGTCCCGGCCAGTGCGCGCATTGGCCGGCCAAAGTACGAAATACGATCTTAGTTGTAAGTTCTTCGGGCTTTGGCCAAGAGAGCCGGCCAATCCGCGCATTGGCCGGCCAATCCGGGGTTTGGCCGCACTTCGGGCTTTGACCGTAACATATATATATATATATATATATATATATATATATATATATATATATATATATATATACATACATACATACATACATACATACATACATATATATATATATATATATATATATATATATATATATATATATATATATATATATATATGTATACATGTATATATATATAAATATATAACTATATATACATACATTTATATTTAGTCCTATAAATAATCATGTTATATATATAAAAGACTACTTAAAAAGTGCGAGTGACCGTAACTTGTGCGTGTCTTCTCAAGACAAAAACTTGAGTTGTGAGACGGCTGGAACCAGACGTGATGTCATTCTGTCAACATGACCATCATGGACGGTGTTTTTCTGCTTCTGGGGACCTCACTTCTCATTCATTATGGTAATATCTCTTTATTCATTGATGAGTTCTGTTTTTAAATTATCCTTACTGGTGGTACAAGAAAACACTGTCCTCGATCTTGAGCAGCACTTCCATGACAAAAGGTGTCAAGATCTGAGACTAGAGATAAGATTTTGTTATGTTTGACTTCATCTTCTGGGGAGCCAAGGGCCACAACTTCCCATACGGATTCTCCTTAGTTTAGCCCACGAAACCCACAGCCTCTTTGTTCGCTTTCAACAGTTCTCCTCCAGGAAACGACAAAATTCTAAAAAGAAAATCATCTAACTATATATATATATATATATATATATATATATATATATATATATATATATATATATATATAATGTGTGTGTATCCTACATATATATGTGTGTAATTTAATTGTGTGTATATATTCCCCAGGTGTATCCATAACGTTGGACGACTGCCCTGCTAGCCTGTTGAGAGACAGGTACCTGCAGGTACACGGCGACCTGTGCTACGAGTTCATCGTGTACCGTCAGAGCACCCACCTAGCGGCCAAGTCAGACTGTGAGATCAACGGGGGGAGCCTGGTGTTCATCAAGTCAGCCGAGACCCAGCAGTACCTCACCCACCAACTTGAGCACACCTACAAAGAGCATCAGTCTATCTGGATCGGCCTCGATGACATCGAGAGTGAGAACACGTTTAAATGGGAAGACGGGACGCCCCTAACCTACAGCCACTGGGCACCCGGGAACGGACTGACTGCTTCCGGGGCACACCCTGCCCAGCATGAGAACAAGGACTGCGTTGCTATGGATACCAGAGACGGGGGGAAGTGTAAAGAGTTCCCGTGCGAGTCCACCGATATTCTGGTGATCGTGTCGACAAACGAAAGACACAGTTACGTCTGCCAGTACAATCCAAGTGCTGTGGTGTCGCAGGTGACCCTGCCCGCGGGGACCACAATGTCTTCCATCACCCACACCCTGCCCGCGGGGACCACAATGTCTTCCATCACCCACACCCTGCCCGCGGGGACCACAATGTCTTCCATCACCCACCCCTGCCCGCCATTGTCCTGCATTGACCACTGCAGTGTCTACAAGAGGGACCCTGTGACCGGATGTTTTCTGTGTGAATGTGAAGCATAAATAAATATCTATAATAACAACCCTGGTTTAAAAGGTGCCCTGTATTTTTAAAGCTATGTGTGCTGGATAGTAAAAAATAATTTGAAACAACTTACTGTCTCGCATGTGTTACAAGAATAAGCCTTATACAAGCAAGATTTTTTTTTCAAATTTCATGATAACCGTTTAAAAATATTGTGTGTGTGGCTTTGTGTTGATATTGTGTAACTTAAGAAACATTTCTAGCAAAGCAGTTTCTTTTAAACTTTTCAAATACGTGCAACGCTGATGATAGTGAGATATTAAATTAATCATTAAAGATTGATGTTAAGATTACTTAATTAAATTAGAAGAGGGAAGATGGCGAGGTAGTAGGGATCACACAATCAGAAAGGTGGTAGCAATCACATATATATAACATTATATATAACATATATATATATATATATATATATATATATATATAACATATATGTATATATATATATAATATATATATATATATATATATATATATATATATATATATATATATAACATATATATATATAACATATATATATAACATATATATATAACATATATATATAACATATATATATATAACATATATATATAACATATATTTATAACATATATATATATATATATATATATATATATATAACATTTATATATATATAACATATATATAACATATATATATATATAACATATATATATATATATGTATAAGAAAGTTTATAGCAATGACCAATGGGTAAATAATTTTAAAAAATTAAACAAATAGGCCTATAACGTATCTAGTTTTTTTAATCATCGTCATAAACCAAGTTACATTAATAATTTCTTTAAAAGTTACATAATAAGAATCAATCAAATTTGACAATTAACGTATATTAGATTGGTCATACTGTGCTAAAAGTCTAGAATGCTAAATATAAGAAAAATTTTATTTGTAATCAAACTGAAGAGTTTAAACATATTGTATTGCGATCTAGATTCCCGAAAACTCTAGTATAAGATGCGAAGAAAATATCAAAATGTAGTAGCTAGAATTTTACTATAATAGCAACATTAAATAGTAGCATCTAAGTGTCGAGTTAAATATGGTCTAGGGGAGTTATCAAGATCATGTGAAGCGGACTATTTCTGTACGTTTCTGTTTTAGGCCACTGTGTCAATGAGTTATGTACTGTTATGCTATGGGCCACTGTGTCAATGACATGTTTACAGTTATGCTATGGGTCTCTGTGACAATGACGTGTACAGTTATACTTTGGGCCACTGTGTCTATGACATATTTACAGTAATGCTTTGGGCCACTGTGTCAATGACATGTTTACTGTTAAGTTTTTGGCCACTGTGTCAATGACATGTTTACAGTTATGCTATGGGCCACTGTGTCAATGACATGTTTACAGTTAAGTTTTGGGCCACTGTGTCAATTATGTGTGCAATTTTTCTTGTTACAGTTCAGTAAATATGGGTTGCAGGTTTTTATTCCAACACTCCGTCTGTTGGGGATCTGTATTCGCCCACCGTGTCACTTTCATATGTACAGTTAAGTTTTTGGCCAACATGTTAATCAGACGTAAACAGTTCGTTCATTGGCCACTGTGTTAATTAAGTGCAGGCCTACACAGTTCTGTTTTTGGCCACTGTTTTAATTAGGTGTGCACAAATCTTTGTCAGCTAATGACTGGGCGCTAGAATATTGGGTTCATATTCGTTTTTTTGGGATTTCCATTTATGGGTAGGTTGCTGTTTGTTTTTGGCTGGTTGGCTTTCTTCTGCTTGTACTATTTGCTAGTTGGTATTGTCAATGAGACTAGGTACTGAAGTGCTGTCGGGTTGCGGATGTTTGCTGATTCATTACTGGTTGGGCGAGTGACTTGCGGATAACTGCTGATTCTCGGTCGTGCGGGATGCTTGTCGGCTAGCGGACCAACTGGATAGCTGTTGACTAATTCGTTTGCTGCTAATTAGATGACGGCAGGTTTGTTGACATGTATAAGGCTGGCGTCTTGATTGTGGACGTGTGGGCTAGCTAGTAAAGCGTTGATGATTTATAAGCTGGCGTCATTTTTGTTGAGAGCTAGCAGGCTATATGTTGAAGATTAGAAGCCTGGCAGCTGGTTGGCTGTGGGTTAGTGAATCGGCTGATAACGGACGCTAGACATATTGAGGCTGGCTGGTAATACGTTGATGGATGGTTGGATGGTGTCTACTCTGTTATTTGCTTTTGGGCTGATAATGTTTTGACATATAATAGGTTGACGTCTATTTTCTTGTTGGTAATACATTGACTGATAATAGGCTGGCTTCTTCTTGGTTGTGGGCTTGTGAGCTGACTGAAAAATTATGGTTGATTTTTATTTTACTGCTTCTCTTTATATATCGTAATATTGTAAAACAATAATTCCTAATCGGATTGATTACTATGCAACACAAACAAATATATTGCTTCTGTTGTATATTGCTAACCATAAACAGTATTGAATATTTATTAGCACTGAGAGCTAAACTGTGAAAACTGAGCGTTAAGAGTTAGGAACTCACCATTTATTTCTGAGTGCTAAATCTTTCTGTCAGTTGTGTTGCAGGATTCTTGTTGGGTTGTAGAATTCTTATTGACTTGCTTTATTCTTGAAGGGTTGCATGATTCATGCAGTGTTGCAGGATTCATGATGGGTTGCAGGATTCTTGTGGGTTGCAAAAAATCTTGTTGGGTTGCAGAATTCTTGTTTTTGGCAGGATTCATGTTGGGTTGTAGAAATCATGTTGGGTTGCAGAAATCATGCTGGATTGCAGAAATCTTGTTGGGTTGCAGAAATTATGTTGGGTTGCATAAAGCGTGTTGGGTTGCATAAATCTTGTTGGGTTGCAGAAATCTTGTTGCGTTGCAGAAATCTTGTTGCGTTGCAAAATCTTGTTAGGTTGCAGAAATTATGTTGGGTTGCATAAATCTTGTTGGGTTGCAGAAATTTTGTTAGGTTGCACAAATCTTGTTGGGTTGCGGAAATCATGTTGGGTTGCAGAAATCTTGTTGGGTTGCAGAAATCTTTTCTTTTTTACAGGATTCGCGGGTTGTAAAAATCACGTTGGGTTGTAGAAATCATGTTGGTTTGCAAAAATCTTTTCATTTTTGGAGGATTTGCATTGGGTTGTAGAAATCATGTTAGGTTGTAGAAATCATGTTAGGTTGTAGAAATTATGTTGGGTTGTAGAAATCATGTTGCGTTGTAGAAATCATGTTGGGTTGTAGAAATCATGTTGGGTTGTAGAAATCATGTTGGGTTGCAGAAATCATGTTAGGTTGCAGAAATCATGTTAGGTTGTAGAAAATCATGTTAGGTTTTAGCAATCATGTTGGGTTGTAGAAATCATGTTGGGTTGTAGAAATCATGTTGAGTTTCAGAATCTTTTCTTTTTTTTGCAGGTGTTGCGTTGTGTTGCAGAAATCATTTTGGGTTGTAGAAATCTTGTTGGGTTATAGAAAGGATATTGGGTTGCTGAAATCATGTTGGGTTGCAGAAATCATGTTGGGTTGCAAAATCATGTTGGATTGTAGAAATCTTGTTGGGTTGCAGAAATCATGTTGGTTTGGAGAAATCTTTTCTTTTTGCAGGCCACTGTGTCAATGACATGTTTACAGTTATGCTTTGGGCCACTGTGTCAATGACATGTTTACAGTTATGCTTTGGGCCACTGTGTCAATTTTGTGTGCAATTTTTCTTGTTACAGTTCAGTAAATATGTGTTGCAGGATTCATGATGGGTTGCAGGATTCTTTTGGGTTGCAAAAAATCTTGTTGGGTTGCAGAATTCTTGTTGGGTTGTAGAAATCATGTTGGGTTGCAGAAATCTTGTTGGATTGCAGAGATCTTGTTGGATTGCAGAGATCTTGTTGGGTATTAGAAATCATGTTGGGTATTAGAAATCTTGTTGGATTGCAGAGATCTTTTTTTTGCAGGATTAGTGTTGGGTTGCAAAAATCATGATGGGTTGTAGAAATCATGTTGGGTTGCAGAAATATTTTCTTTTTTGCAGGATTTGCATTGGGTTGCAGAAATCTTGATGGGTTTTAGAAATCATGTTGGGTTGCAGAAATTGTTTCTTTTTTTGCAGGAATCGCGTTTGGTTGCAGAAATCATGTTGGGTTGCTGTAATCGTGTTGGGTTGCAGAAATCTTGTTGGGTTGCAGAAATGAAATCGTATTGGGTTATAGAAATCTTTTCTTTTTTTTTTTTTGCAGGATTCGTGTTGGGTTTCAGAAATCATTTTGGGTTGCAGAAATCTTAAATTTTTTGGTAGATTCTTGATGGGTTGCATGCTTCTTGTTGAAGAATTGTTGATGGGTTGCCTGATTCTTGTTGAGGTTCAGGATTCTTGTGGGGTTGATGATTCTTGTTCTGTTGAATGATTTATGTTTGGTTTCAGAGATCTTGTTGGGTTGCAGGATTTTTGATGGCTTGCAGGTTTCTTGATGGGTTACAGTATTCTTGATGGTTTACAGGTTTCTTGATGGGTCACAAGTTTCTTGATGGGTTTCAGGATATATGTTAGGTTGTGTTATTGTTTTTAGGTGGCAGGTTTCTTAATGGATGGCAGGTTTCTTGATGGTTTGCAGGATTCTTTTTGAGTATCAGGATTTTTGGTGGGTCACAGAATTCTTGATGAGTTGCAGAATTCTTGAAGGATCGCAGGATTTTTTATGGGTTGCACAATTATTGTTGATTTGCATAATTCTTGTTTTTTGGTAGGATCCTTGTTGGATTGCAGAAATCTTTTTGGGTTGCAAAATTCATGATTGCTTGCAGGATTTTTTATGGGTTACAGTATTCTTGATGAGGTATAGGATTGTTAGGTTGAAGAAATCTTGCATAATTCTTTTTTTTTGTAGGATCCTTGTTTGGTTTGCAGAAATCATGTTGGGTCGCTGGATTCTTGATGGGCTGCAGGTTTTTTTGTTTGGTTGCAGAAAACTTGTTGATTTGCATAATTCTTTTTTTTGTAGGA